GTGGCTGACATGTTTTTAGGTTTGGACCTGTTTATGTAAATTTCATTAGTACTTTGTAGAGTGCTAAGTGTGTGCTTACTAACAGTGGCATATGAAGATTAAAATGTTTCTGCCTCTCTTTAGATTTAAGCTTCTCTCCAGACATTTCTTTTGAAGACAGAATATGCACCAACAGGAAAAAAAGTAAAAAATTGTGTTAACATGACAGTTAGATGCAAATTCACTATTTAAGATTAATCTCTGAGTTGTTAGAAAATAGCAATAAATTAAGTTTAGAAATGTATTTTATATGCAAATCATCTTACTAGTACCCCTTTAAATATGAATGTGTACAACATTCATGTTTGGAGCCTGAACATAGCAGTTTGTTTGTTTTTTTATCAGAATCAGCTTTATTAGCCAGGTGTGTCGGACACACGAAATATTTGACTCTGGTACATCGGCTCTCAATGTGTATGTACATATCCCCATGCAAGGGGCAAGTAAACAGTAAACCAGCATAAGGCTGTGTAATATAACAAAATAAGCAGTATTAACAAGCAGCAAACAGTGCAAACAATGCAAAATAAGCAGTATAAACAGACAGTAAACAATGCAGACAGACAAGGAATGCTCATTGTGAAATAAGATTAATAGATAAATACATGTCAACAAGCAAGGGAATGTGCATTAGGAAAGAGATATAAAAAGAAAATAAGAGTACAGTACTTATAAACAGAGACCTGTATATACTGTATGTCTATATATACACACACACAGCCTAGATGCATTCGATGGATCTGTATGTACAACGTATATTTACGTATATTTAGGTATTGCACTGAGGGTAACTGACCAGTCATACTGTCCTGGGTTAAGTGTTGATCTTATTTCTCATTTTACTTAATATAGCATACTACATTATATCATAACACACTAAGGATACTAAACAATATTTCATCTCTCTCTCTCTCTCTCTCTCACACACACACACACACACACACACACACACAGAAAGATTCCTGACATCTTTTGCTCTTCAGCTTTAACTCTTGCTGTGCCTCATAAGAAGAACCCGCTGGTTAAATAACAAAGCCCAGGTGGCAGATGAATTCCTGCTTCCTAGCTATAGTCTGCTGCTTTGTTAGGACAAATCTGGTCATCCACACAAAACCCCAGGGCTACTTTATTATATAATGTAGGATGTATAACTCACACAACAAGCACTGGTGTGACTTTTTCCCACAAAACACAGCAAACTTACACTTGTAAACTGACTGGATATTTCCTGGGACTGTGTGATCAGTTCATTTCATGAAGAGCTGATTTCAGCTTTGTACCTTTGGAGTGTGAGTCTAAAAATATGTTTTAAAAAGGCAAAGAAATAAGGGGGGGAAAAAGTCACTCTACATACTTACAACTGAAAGTCACCTAATTCTCTGTTGTATTATAATAAAACCTGTGAGATCATAAGACATTTTAACATGTCCCATGAGGTAGAGGAGTGAATAATAGCAACCATAATTGCTTCATTTCATTTTGGTCACTGGATGCTTATTGAGCCATTGTTAACATTATCAGATTCACTTGGACTTTTCTCCAAACAACCTCCAATCAGAAAAAAATTGCTTTCAGAGCCATTTATGAGTTTGATCTTGGGAAATTGTTTTTAAATAATTTTAATTTCTGAATATTTTGCTGAATTAGCTTTCACTGATTTATATTTTGGATCTTTGCCCATGTATGTTTGTGTTTCCCTGTACTGCATAGTAAATGTAGTATAATCTCTACATTTTGTGTTTGAATTTTTGTAAAAAAAAAAAAACATCTGAAACATTTTTTTCTTTGCTATGAAACAGAACAGCCTACATGTGCAGCCCCAGATACCTGTGGCCAAGCTGTGATCCACTCTACAAAGCATTGTTCTCTTAATCTGTCTGGTATTTTCTCATCTTCTTGTGAACTGACACACAAACCCTCAAATGTCTGTCTTATATACTAAATATTATCTTGAACACACACAATACTCTGTGATTAAAACCACATAATACCCATTATAATAATACATTTATTTTTTTAAATGCCCAGTATTATGCAACTCTTGAGTGTTACATCTGTCATAAGTTAAAATATAGATCTCTTTTACAAAACAATTGTTAACAAACCTTCCAGGGAAGCAGGATATAAAGGTATGAACTGTGGATTTAGCTGCTGCTGTCTTTTGAATCTCACTGAGATGGTGAAACTGAAGCTTTAGACAAAAAAAACTTCTGTAGGACTTGAAAATTACACAAGAAAAAGGCTTTAAAAATAAAAGGGATATTTATTACGTTTTTATCATTAAACAAAATAACATTATAAACAAAGGTAAAGGTGTAAAGTTTCACCCAGTGATCTCCATCTTATGAAAGGCCTACAAAAATATTTGTATGTCCAAATATTGTCCTCTATCTACTGCTATGTCACCAGGACAAACTACTGAACAATGGTGGCCAAATCCTACATGGAAGAGGGCTTCACCGAACCGACTGTGGCTGAGGACCTCCAAAGGACAACGACTGTAGTGTCTGTTATGTCCCTCTAACACTCGTCTACTTGAACTGATTATCAATGAGTGTGCCCTTCATCTTAGCCTTCTTGGCCTCCAGCTCGGCCAGCTCCTGCAGCCTCCTCTTGCTCATGCCCTTCCTCTCCAGCTGCTTCTCGATCACTTTGGCGTTTTGGGCATAGGAATCCGCCACCTCCCTGGCCTCGATCTCTTCCTCTTCCTCGTCTATGGTGGACACTGTGACTGAGCTGAACTTGCCCATGTCTTTGGTGCGCTTGGTCATCATCACACGGACTTTCTTGGGAGCCTCCGGTTGCTTCTGGCTGTAAACGCTGGTGTTGCCGAAGCCCTGTCCGAACTTGACCACGGCTCCGTCCACGATGAAGGTGGCCGTGTTGTTTTTCTCTTGGTGCTGGTAGAAGAGCAGCAGGCCGCACTTGCCGCACTTCTTGCGGTACTGCTTCTCGATACCTTCGGCTCTCTTGATGTACGTGTTTTCGTCCTCCACCACGTTGCAGAATTTGTGGGCATGTTTGGCCGCGTCGATCACCCTGGCTCGGTCCCGGGGCCTCATGGGCAGTTTCTCGATCTGGCAATCCAGCACCAAAACCATCTGCCCGCAGAGGCAGTAATAAACGTGGAGAGGCTTTTCTCCGTCGTCGTACTCCTCCCTGTCTCTGGTGTCCGAGCACACAACACTTCTGGACACGACCTTCGGCATCTTCAGCCACTGAAATGTCTATTAAAAGTGTGATTTAAAGCTAGAACGTCAAAACCAAGGGAGTTCCACCAAAACAGCGCAACTCTCCCTGTGTACGGAACGTTTACAATTCCTACGAGAAACCAGTTTTCACCTTTGGTTCCGCCTCATTGGCGGATAATCATGGCTGTCTTGTTGCGGTTACACTTGTGAAAACTCTGAAAATAAAAATCCACTCGGCCCCCTTTATAACCCATGATAAAGGTGATTGATCACCAGCCAAGAGAAAACTTGCTCCAAATTTATTTGTACAGAATTCATATTTAAGACAGTTAAGCTCGATAAGATTTTAAAAAGAGAGCAGTTTTATGCATCATTATGAAAGGTCACTCAATAAGCCACAGCTCATCCTGGTACCATTAACATCTACACAAAGATTTGAAAGAAATTTTAAGCTTTGTGTTGGATGCAAAATATCGAACCAGAAACAGGCTACAAGTCTACAGTTAACCTCCATGCCCAAGCTTGAAGCCCAGTTTGACAGGTCATCAAGAGTCAGACTGAACACTGTAGCCTTGTGAAAGGCTCACTGCAGAAGCATCTGGCCTTGGTCAGACCCTTCCACACCTACGAGTTCTGTTTAAACATACAACTCTTTATGAAGTTTGGGAAGATAAAGAAATGGTGTGACAGTAATTTACTATCTTTGAATTTTGAGAAAACCAAATATATGGTATTTGGGAATCGTAGACCACACAATGAACTTCAATTAAAAATTGGGGGAGCTAACATCGAACGAGTATATGAAATTAAATTTCTAGGTGTCATAGTTGACAGATTCTCCTGGAAATCTCATATCAGATGTGTTCAGCATAAAATAGCTAAAAATATATCGATATTGGCAAGGGTTAGATATATTTTGGACG